TAAAAAAAAAAAAAAAAAAAAAAAAAAAAAAAAAAAAAGGGAATCAGAAATTAAGGACGTAATTTTTTTCCTAATTATAAAAAATTAAACATAATTATTAAAAATTATTTAGTTTAACTTACTTATTATAAAAACTTAATTAGATGCATACTTTTATATGTACATATTATATATATATATATATTAATTTATTTTAAAAATTATAATATTAATTATATAAATTTAAGCTTATTAAAAATTGTATATATACATACATCTCATTTCTATATATATATGTGAATTATTTTATTTATTTATTTTTTTTTTTTAAAATTCAAATTTTTATATTACCTTTTCCATTATATAATTATATTTTGTTTTATTCATATCTATTAATATCCTTTTTAGAATTATATATACTTTTTCTTTGATATATGCATATAAATTTGTTTTTTTTTAAAAATATTTTTATATTTGAAATTAACCTCCTTTTCTTTTTTTAATTATAACAAGAATAATTGAATTATTATCCCATTTTTTATTTGATTTTTCCTTATTATAAAAATATTAGATAAATAACCATAATAAAAAAAAAAAAAAAAAAAAAAAAGGTCTTTTCTAATTCATTATTATTAGAATGCTTTTGAAGTTTTTATTATTTTAAAATAATAGAAACAATCTAATAGTTTCATTAATAAAATAAATAAATTACTAAATAAAAAAATAAAATTAGAGCGAATCTTAAAATATACTTTTCCATTTAGTAATATAAAGAGAAAAATAAACCTTGAAAAAAAAATATATTTTTTTTTTTTTTTTTTTTTATCCTATTAAAAATATATAGATATGAATGTTAGACATAAGTGTTTTTTTCTTTTTTTATTATTTTGCTCTTCTTTTCTAAAATAGAAACAATTATTAAAAAAAAAATTTTATTATAGAAAAATATACGTTTTTTCTTTTTTTTTTTTTTTTTAATTAATGCACTGGCATATGCAAAAAGGTGCAAATAACTTTTTTATTTGTTTTTATTATTAATGATATTAAAACTGAATATTATTTTAATACATATTTAAAGTATACATGATATGAACCATATATTATTTTTCAGCAGATAGATTTCTACTAAATATAAAGAGGACATTTTATATTCTAAGTTTTCCCATAAAACTAGAACTTTTATTAATTTAAGTTTTCAATATATGCAAAAGAAAATATATGTATATCTTATTGTATTCCTATTTAAAGTCATATATTAATATATACATTATGTAAATTCTAATTCTTTTTTATCTACTTTTTACTATATCATTACAAAATAATATTTTTTCATCCTTCTTATACTTCTATTTTGATCATATAATGATATTAGTTAATATTTTGTAGATATTCTACTTTTTATTTTTTTTCATTTTTATGCTTTTAGTTTTTCCACATTTTAATTTTCTAATTATTATTAATCTTCATTTTATAAAGAATGATTACTAAACACATTAAAAAAATAATTTTAGAGAATAAGTAGAAATGTAGATGATATACAAATTATAATAATAAAATAATTAAAAATAAAATGATTATATTAAAATATTGTACTTTGGCATTTTTGTTTTATTCGATATTATTTAACTACTTAATTTTCTTAACAAATGGAGTAAGTTTAAATAAACAAAGGAATAAAGAAAATGAACGATTTAATATTTTTTCTAATATAAATAATTTGGAGAATCGAGAAAATAATGTGAAGAACAATTATGATATTGAGGATTATTTTTATAATGACCATAAAAAAAGAAATATAGAAGATAACACTGTTACATATTATAATAAAATAAAAGATAAAAATAATATTTATAATGAAGGCATTTTTTATGAAACGAATATAGCTGATGAAGATAATAATAAATATAAAAAAAAAGATATATTTCATAATAATGAAAAAAAAATTTTAACATTTTCAAAAAATGAGAATGTTACTTCAAATCATATTTATCCTTCAGATATATATTTACAGTCCTTTAATGTAAAAAAAAAAAAAAAATATGTTCCATTAAATAATAAGTATATAGAAAGTTCTAATATTGAATTAAAAAATAGACTAAATTACTCATTAAATCCAGCATTAACTTTAGTAGCCTCACGAGCAGTTGATGGATTATTAGGAGGAGTTAATCAACATATGCAAGGACCATATGCTTTGAATCCAGATGGAAACAACTCCCCTTTAAGTAATCCTATAGTTACTCCTAATTTGTATCCAAGTCCTCATATGCCTCCCTCTAATATGGCTCATGGAGCTCCTCCCCCTGGACCACCACCACCCCCAAATATTTCACCACCACCACCAGGAACACCTGCTCCTCCCATTGCTCCTTCGGGACCCCCTGGGGCAATTCCCCCTGCTCCTCCTAATTCCATAATGTATAATTCTATGGGTGCACCTAATTCTGCATCTCCTAATACAATTGGTCAAAACCCTAATTTTAATATACATCCAACAGCTTCTAATTTGAGAGGAGACCCTGGTAATGTTACATCTAACGAAATTGTTAGTATAACAATTGGTATAGTTTTAAGTCTATTTCTTTTTTGTTTTATTTCTGGATGTCTAATTAAAATGTGTAAACCTAAAAAGAGAAGAAGATAAAGTATAAACAAATGCATATATATACTTTTATATAATTTTCTAAAAAATCTATATTCGTATACATATATTTCAAAGGACTTTTCTATATATTTTATAAAGAATATATAAATAAATAAATAAATAAATAAATAAATAAATAAATAAATAAATAAATAAATAAATAAATAAATAAATATATATATATATATATATTTACTTTGCTATTAAATATAAGTATTACTAAAAAAATCAGAATATTTTTTTTGTTTATAAATTGTTCAATGAAAAAAAAATTTTTATAAATCATTTGTCTTTTATTTTTTTACTTGTTTTTTCTTCTTTTTTTTTATTAATATTATTAAATTAGATCTTATTGTAAAATTTATTGATACTTCATTGTAATATTAGAATTAATTAATTTAAAAACTTTTGTCTTTTATTTGTTTACACATATTTAAACATTTTTTTGCTTGAAAATTTCTAAAAATATTTATATAAAAATAATTTAAGAAAAAATTTAAAATAAAGAAATATTTTAATTTTTTTTTTTTTTTTTAATTATTTTCAAAATAATATTATAAAATATGGAAAGTTAAGAATATTTTTTTTTTTTTTTTTTTTTTTTTTTTGAACTACTAATTTTAGTGAGTAATTTAAGACAGTTTTTATTTCACTATGATAGAATAAAATGTTTTTTTTCCTAATCTCAAAATTGCATAATAGTTATTATGTATCTGTAAGAAGTTACTGATACTTAATTGAAGTTTAGGATTAGTTATAAGGTCTTTATTTAAATATATACATTTTTGGTTTATTTTTTCTTTTGCTTCTTTGTTTGTTTCCGCTATTTCAAATTTTTTTAATATTTGTAAAATGTCTATTTTTTTTTCATTTAAATCATCCTTACTAATTTCAAGGAATGGAAAAATTTTTAAATCTTCTATATTTTCAATTTCATATGTTTGTTCATCTTTAATCATTTTATTCATTTTATGAATTTTTTTCACAACTTCCTTTCCATATATATATGATGTTACACTATCAGAAAGTTTTTTCTTTGCTTTGTTAATTTCTTCTTCATAGATCTTTTCCAAATTTATAGTGTTTTTATTAATAGTTGTATTATCTATTTTTTCATTTTCATTTTTCTCCCTATAATTGCTATCTGAATAATTACTTATTTTCTCATTTATGTCAATATTTATATCTGTTAGCATATCAATATATGACTGAACTTTTTGATCTTCTATATTTCTTAAAAAATTCCAAAATAAATAAGGAGGGTTATAATGTATATCTATCCATATAGGTAATTTTCTATTCTCATTAAATAATGATTTACTATATTTAACATTATTTTTATGCAAAAGCAAATTTGTGGTAAAACCATATAATTGCGTTTTAAAAATATTTTGACAAAGTTCAATTCCTGATTGTATGTTACCCCACTGATCAGAACCTCCTATTTGAATAAAAGTTTGAAAATTTTGAAATAAATATAAGAAATCAAAAGATTGCAATGTTATGTAGTTTAAATCTTTTAATGTTAGATTTTTTTTAAGCTTGCTTGAAAGACATTCTTTTCTTAATAATTTATTAACAGAAAAATACTCTCCATATTTTAAAAAATCAATAATATTTATGTTATCATACCAAAAATTATTTTTTAGAATAATCAAAGATCCTTTTTTTTTTGATTCATAAATAAATTCTTTATTAGATAATATATTGCTTTTTTCAATAATTTCATTTAAATGTTTTTCACTCAATTCATTTTGAAGGAATAAATTAATTATATTAGTTCTTATGTTTTTTTCATTCTCACATATTTCCTCATCTACTGTTTTTTTTCTTTTGGTATTTTGAAAAGATGGATCTCCTATTTTTGTTGTACTACTACCTAGTAAAATTATTATATCTGTGTTGTAATTTCTTAAAATATCTAATGTAATTAATGGTATTAAATTTCCCAAATGTAAGTATTTACAATTTAAATCTATTCCTACATATACAGATTTTCTATTTTTTCTCTCTTCTTCATTTTCATTTTTATATAATATTTCATCAATACTTTTTATATCACTAACGTAATGAATTATTTTTCTTTCATACAATTTTTTTAATGCTTTAGATTTTATTTCATAAGTTCCTATCCTATTATCTTCAATTCTACTAGTAAGAAATTGTGGAATACATTTTTTATAACATTTTATAAAACTATTAAATATCAATATAATTTTTAATAATATAAAATATGTTTTTATCATCATATAATTCGACCATTTTACTTCAATTTACATCAATTCATTATACTTTTAAAAAAAAATTTCACATGTATAAATACTAAAAAAAATTTTTTAATAAACTACTGTTATTTCTTCTTATTCCTATAAAAAGAATTATTTAAAAATTTTTTTGTAAAAAAAAAAATAGTAAAATTTTTTATAAAGAATAATTCTTTTCTTTTATTTATATTGATATATATGTTTTTTTTTTTTTTTTTCGAATATGTAATTTTTTTGCTAAGGTAAATTTATATATCATACTTGTTTATATTTAATTATTTCATTTTGATTTTTGTAATACACATATTAATATGTAAATAAATTTATTTATTTTTTTCTCTCATTTTTTAATTTGCTTTTTTAATATATATATATACAATTTATTTTTATGAAATAATTATAGACTTAAGATAATTTATTTTTTTTAAATAATGTTTGCATTAAGCAAAAAGTGGCTTTTATCTTTTGAAATTCCATATGGTCAAATTCAGAAAATCACAGCACGTTCATCAGGTCCAGGAGGGCAAAGTGTTAATAAGGTTAGATATGAATATTTTTTTTTTTCACATAAGAATTTATAAATTTGAAATATATTCATATATTTATGTATCTACATACACATTCATTTTTAAATTTCTTTTCATTTAATATTCATTAAAAGGCAGAAACAAAAGTTCAACTCCGATTTAATATAAATGAGGCGAATTGGATTCCTTCTAATGTAAAGGAAAATTTAAAGTAAAAAAAAAAAAAAAAAAAAAAAAAAAAAAATACAATAATAATAATAATAATAATACTTTATGTCATATATTGCTATTACGTTATTTTTATCTTTATACAAAAATTTTAGAAAAATTTATAAAAATAAATTAAGTAAATGTAATGATCTTATTATAGAATGTGAAGGTTAATAAGAAAAGATTATTAACTTAGGAAAATTATAAATTAATAATTTTAATAATATTTACTATATTATTTATTAAAATCTTAAAAATTAGAAATTTTGTATAACTCAAATTATTATTTTATTTTATTTTATTTTATTTTATTTTTTTTATCTTAGAAACATCTTCACAAATATCAAATTATAAAATTTGTATTGAAAAATTAAAATTAATTCTTGAAGAAGCAGAAGTATTAACAAAAAAAATTAGAAGAAATATGAATATTTTTATATTATCAAATTTTTATAATTTTTATTTACTTATTTATTTATTATTTGTTAATCTATTTTTTCATTGTGCTTTATATCATAGAATTACAAAGAAAGAGTTAAAAATACTTCAGTAAAAGATTATATTCATTTAATTAAGTCAAAAGAACAGGTAATAAAATATATAATTTTTATGTTTTATTTCTGATACAATATTGTTTTTTTTTTTTTTTTTTGTTATTTTCTTACCTTATCTTTACTAGAAGATTATCATAATTTCACTTCCATTTACTATGGGTATTTCCTTCACGTTAAAAATATAATTTTTTTTTTTTTTTTTATATTTCTATTATATATACAGATAAAAAAATATAAAGATAATTTAATTAATCAAAAAAAGAAAAAAAGAGAAAGAAAATTTAATAAAAAGGATTACGATTAAAATTTTTTTAATATCAGAAAATATGTGTCTAATTAATAAATAAATATAAGAATATCTCTTTAAATAAAAAATACTTCATAAAAAAATGAAATATTTATTAAATTTAAAAATTCAGATTAATAATAATCTAAAAAAATAGACATTTTATATACATTCTATTATTTTCATATATTTATTGTAAGTTTTATCATGAATTAAGTTGCCAAAAATTTGATTGAAAAGATATGGTAAAAATGATGTATTTTAAAATTTTCAAGTATAAATGCGTTATATTTGTGTGATGTATTTGTTAAAAAAAAAAAAAAAAATAATAAATTCTATAAATTTTTCAAATGTACATAATTAAATCATTATTCTATTTTGAAATTATATTAAATTTTTATAAAATTAAAAGATTGCTTTTTTTATTTATTTGTTTTTCATTTTTTTATTTTATTTTTTTTTTTTTTATTTGTTTTAACAAATGTGAAAATTTTTAATCTATAAAAATAACTTATATAATTCGTTAAAAATTATTTAAAAGAAAATTTAAAATAAAGATTATTTAAAATATACATGCGCGCACATATACATAAGCTTTGAAAAAAAAGTTAAAGGAAAAATCACATAATAAGAGTAATATTTTTATTAGTATCAATAATTATAAAAAAGTAAATATATATAACTAAATGTTCTGGATAAGGTGTTCATTAGTTTTACTTTTTCAAAGATGTAATTTAGGTAACATATCTTTTTTTATATTTTTATTTAGATGTTATAAATTTTCTTGATTTTAATTTTATATATAACTTTGTTTTATAAGTGTACATATATATATGCATATATATGTAATGTTGTATTAGCTTTTTAACTACATTTAATTTACACATTTTGTTGCATACTTCTTGTATTCCTTTTATTTACATTTCATTTTTTTTTTTTTTTGTTTTTATGTGCATTCATTTTCTTTTTCTTTATCTTTTTCTTTTTTTTTATATTTTTTTTTATATTTTTTTTTTTTTTTTTTTTTTTTTTTTTTTTTTTTTTTTTTTTTTTTGTTTACTTTTGTTTTAATTTTCTATATCTTCTTCATCTATAGCTACAGCTGCTGCTTGTTCTAATTCTTTTTCAGCTTCACGAACAACATTTAGATCTATTTGAAATTCAGGTGCTTTAGCATGTTCTCCGACAAAAACAAGATTTGGTTGATTTGATAATCTTCTAGCTAGCCATAAAAATGGTTTTTCAAAATTGTAGTTAGATCTTGCTGATAAGTCATAATATTGTAAATTTCTTTTTCTATGAAACTGTATTTGTCTTGATTTTACTTGCCTGTCCTTTACATCAACTTTATTACCTACTAAAACCATAGGAATTGTTTCGCACACTCTTGTAATATCTCTATACCAGTTTGGTACATTTTTATAAGTAATACGAGATGACACATCAAACATAATAATTGCACAATCACTTTTTATATAATAACCATCTCTTAATCCCCCAAATTTTTCTTGACCTGCTGTATCCCAAACATTAAATTGCGTTTTTCCGAAATTTGTTTGAAATTTTAATGGATGAACTTCAACACCAAGAGTTGCTAAAAAAAAAAAAAAAAAGTAAATATATACAAAAATATATATATATATATAAATTCTTATAGAAGTATTTCATATGGATACTTATGAGAATTCATGTATATTTATATATCATTTTTCATATTCTAAATTATTTCAATTTTAACTGTTCATATTTTTTTTTTTTTTTTTTTTTTTTTTTTTTTTTTTTTTTATTTACGAATATATTTTTTTTCAAATTCTCCAGTTAGATGTCTTTTTACGAAAGTTGTTTTACCAACACCACCATCACCAACTAAAATTAATTTATATTGTGGAATAAATTCTTGTGCATCCATTATGATTATATCTATTAAAAATTTTTATAATAATAATAATAAAAAAAAAAAAAAAAAAAAAAAAAATAATTAGAATTCTTATACTTAAGATATATATATATATATATAAACAATAAATAATTTAAATATTCATATGCAATTTCTTTTAAAATTAATATGAAAATTCCGAAATTTATATTATATTTCAAAGAATCAAAATGTAAAAACTGATATATAGTATGCTTTAATTATTAAAAGTAAGAATACTCAAAAAAAATAATGGAATATATATTTTATTTTTTAATAAAATATTTATATTTTAAAAAAAATAATTTTCAGTATACTACAAAATAATTATATAAATATATATGTATTCATTAAAATAAAGCATAAATATATTTTTTTTTTTTTTTTTTTTTTTTTCTTACTTTATAATAATTTTTATGGTATTATTGATCAATGATTTAAGTTTAATTTTTTTTATTTTTTTTATATATTTTGAAATTAAAAAAGAATTCCAAAAATATGAAAAATATAAAAATAAATAAATATAAAAGAAAAAAAATAATAAAAATATAAAATAGAAAAAAATAAAAAAGAAAAAGAAAATTTTAAAAAAATGATATAAAATGCAAAAATAACATATGATATATTTATAATAAAAAAAAAAGCATTCATACAATGTATTATTTAATATTTTATTTTTTGCATATATAAAAATTCATTTTAAAGTTTAATAATATTAGCTATTTAAATGAATTTTTCAAAATGAAAAAAAAAATAAATTTATATAATAATAATTTCATAAATACAAAATTTATGAGTTCTTTAGAGAATATAATAACCATGAAATTTTTTATACAAATTAAATATTGCAAAAAAAAAAAAAAAAAAAAAAAAAAAAAAAAAAAAATTGAAAACAAATATTCTTGTTAAATAAAAATTAAAAAAAAATTCAATCATATATTAAATTATAATATTTCACTTCTATTTTTCCATTTTTCTTTTTTTTTTTCCTCTACCTCTACCTTTTTCTTTCTATTAAATTCTCTCTACATACAGTTTGTATATTAAAAAAATAAACCTCAATATATTATTACAAAAGATATACATAAAATCTTACCATTTTTTTTTTTTTTTTTTTTTTATATTAAAAAAAAACAATAGTATTCCCCTTTTAATTATAAATTTTTTTTTGAGTTTACAAATTAAATATAAGCATTTAATAGAGATTTTAATAACCAAATTAATTTTTGTCCTGTTGTATACATTATTTTAATTTAAAAAAAAAAAAATAAATACTAGTTATTTCTTTGTATTTATATTTTAAATTTTTATTAATGAAAACATAAAAAAAAAAAAATGAAAATAAAGATATATAAAGCTTAAACTTTTATTATTAGTAAATTCTTTATCTAAAAAATTTTTTTATATTATTTGAAAAAATATTTTGTGTTATATAATAGGAAAATTTAAAAATGAGAAAACTAAACTAAAAATTTTATGCAACTAATTATCAGCTATTTAGTTCTGTAATTTTTAAGTAAATTGCAGAAAAATATAATTAAAGTCTTATCGTGAATATTAAATATGATTTAATATGGAACCTAAAAAAAGATTTATCTTTCTTTTTATTAGAACGATGAAATTGAAGCATAAAATATTTTAAGGTGTATTTTATTTTTTAAAAAAAGCGAGAATACTTAATAAAAGTACTCTAAAAAGAAAAAAAGAAGAAGAATATAAAAAAAGAAATAAACTATTACAATCATATTTTTTTATAAAATTATATGAAAAATTATTATTAGTATTTTTACTAAATAATTAAAAAAAGGAAAAAATATTTACATTTTTGCATTTTTTATGAGCAGATATAATTTTTAGACTAATTTTTATAGATTTTTCTTATTCTTGTTATTATAATTTATTTATCTCAAATTTTTTGAATAAATGCTATTCTAGGAAATTTAACTAGTTATCCCTTTTATATTTATCATAATGACTGCTTCTTCTCTTTTTGTTCCTCTTATTAAATGAAACTCATGAAATCTTTAAAGAAGGAAAAATTACAAAAAGAAATAACATATACTATACTTAAATTTTCATAAATTTCAAAATATCAAAAAAAAGTATTGCCAAATTAATTAAAATTGTCTAAAATTTAAAAATATATATATATATAAAATATTAAAAATAAAAAATGAAGTTTTCATTTTTTTTATTCAGTGAACTAAAAAAAAAAAAAAAAAAATTCAAATAAAATAAATTTATTTTTGTATAAAATTCTTTTAAACTTAAACTTTTTTTAACATAATTTTTATAGAATCTCACATATATATATATACTTCGTAAATTTCATATGATTTTTACTTTTTTTAATTATATAAATTTTTTTTCATAATTCTTTAATTTTTTTTATTATAAAACTTGAAGTATTTATATTTTTCTCTAATGATTCTTTTCTCTTTTCCTTCTTTTTCATGTACACTTTTATATTACTTTCCTTTTTTTCAATATTTTAACATCTTTCAAAAATTTTATATAATTGATTTAATGATGTCAATTCTATTATATATCCATTATTTTCAAAAGTTTTAGGAATTTTCATAATATTATTTAATTGAATCATGGGAAAAAAATATTTTTCAAAAACTAAGTTAATATTTTTAGAAACCGATAAATGTTTATTAATATCTATAACCATTTCATCTCCTAATATGCTATCAAAATTTACGTTTTCTTTTTCTGCTTGTTCATCCTTTTTTTCACTTGAATTATTTGATAACATTCTCATTTCTTTTTCTTTTATCATCATTAAATCATCTTGGAATGTCCATTCTTGATCATTTAATAAAGTAATTTTAGAATAGAAATCTGCTATTAAATAACATACTCCATTAATACAATTTATCTCTTTTTCATAATCAATTTGAGTAGCTAATCTTAAAAATAAAAGAGGCAAAAATTCTTGTCCTGGAAAATATTCTCCACAACAAGCAGGAAATGTTACTATGCATCCCTCTTCAATAATAAGAGAAAAATAATCAGCATACATTTCTTCATATGAATAAAATTTTTCTTCTAAATAATTACATATCCTTTCAATACTTTTATTCGCATAATCTGGATTTTCAAAATAACCAGAATAAGGATCATTAATAGCAACAAGTAGAAGATCATACAATGGAATAGGTGGATCAAATTTAAAAGGAGGTAATTTTCCTATCCTATTTAAAATAGATTGATAAGTAATTTCCTTTATTATTAATGGCATTTTAATTAATAATAGCTTTTCTTGATATTGAATTAAACTATGCATATTATCTACAGGCCCTACATAAATAGATTTTTTTAAACATTCTGTTAACTCTTTTTTTTCCTTTTCTTCACATATTTTCTTCAATTTTTTAATACTAGAAATTTCGTCACTCTCAGAAGGATATCTTCTATTATATGTTAAATTACTAATATGTTTCTCTTTATTAGAATTAAATAAAGCAGCCTTAGGAGCATCTAACTTTAATATTTCATATTCATTATCTTCAAATAATACTAGTGATTTGTCTTCCTTATTTTCTTGTTTTTTTACAAAGTAATTCGTTAAAGTTATTTGTTTGTGATCTGTTCTTACCCTTTTGGTATCTATTTGTTTTTTTATATGTTTATTATCATTTATTGACATAGTATCATTTTCTTCTTTTTTTACCTCTAATTTCGTAGAATTTATTTCAAATTTTGTTTGCATTAATTTAGCAGCAGAAACATTAAAGTTTCTCATATTCTGAAAATTTTTTAAAAAATGTTCAATTTTTTTAGATATTAACATTGCTATTTCTTCTTGATATAAAAAATGAACTTCTTTTTTAGTTGGATGTACATTGATATCAACAATATCATATTTTAATCTTATAGATAAATATATCCAAGGGTAATTTCCTTTTGCCAAAAAATTAGAATATTGGTTTTCACACGACCTTTTTATTATATTAGATTCAATTAATCTATCGTTTATAAAAAAAATATAGGATCCTTTTTTCCCGTTATATGTAGGATTGCTAATTAAACCATAGCATTTAAAAAATGTAGGAATTTTTTCTTTTATGAATATGCTACTTAATTCTTTAGAAATATTTCTACCATATATTTTTTGTATTACTAACTTCACATTATTTAGATACTTTTCATAATTATCATCTAAATTTTTTTCTTCTTCTAAAATTTTTTTTTCAGTTTCAGTGTAATCTTCAATATAGTTATTTTCATTATCTTTATTATATTCTTCATTTTCATTTACCACTTCATTTTTGTTGCTCTCATCTGTATTTTTAAAAACATCATCAAACAATTCTTTTCTTTTTTTTTTTATAACATAAATTCCTCCTAAACCTCCTATACCCTTCCCACAATTTTGTGTATTCAAATCAACTGTATTACTAAGCCACTTCTTACAAGTAAAAGAAACATTTGGATAATGAATAGCATATTTTTGTAAAACCTCTAAGCATTTATTATATTCTTCATTATGATTCATTGTTTTTAATCTTGCTGGCATGTTATAAAAAATATCATCAAATCTTATTATTGTTCCATTTTTACCTGAACAGACAGTAGGTTCTTTTTGCGTTGGTTTTCCATCTTTATAAGTACAAGTATAACAAAAAGATGAATTTTTTTTTTTTGTTGTAATAGTTAAATATGAAACATGAGATATAGAAGCTAGAGCTTCTCCTCTAAATCCAAATGTTTTAATAGTTCTTATATCTTTATGATTTGTTATTTTACTTGTTGTAAATCTTTCACACACAATTTGTAAATCGTCTTTATGTATACCATCCCCATCATCAATGATTTGCAATGATTTCAATCCCCCTTTATTTAAATGAACACTTATATTAGTTGAATTCGCATCAAGACTATTCTCAATCAATTCTTTTAAAGCATTACAAGGTCTAATTATAACTTCCCCTGCTGCTATTCTATTTATATCCTCTTCAGAAAGTTTTATTATTCTTCTTTCATCACATGAATTGTTATTATTCATCTTAAGTATACATTGTACATTATTAAAGTGAAATATTTATACATTAAACTTTTATGTAAAATTTTTTATTCATAAAAATTATATATTTCTCTATTAAGATAGACATAAAAAAAAAAAAAAAAAAAAAAAAAAATTCTCAAAATAATATTTATTGAAAATATATATTTATTTAATTAAATATAAAATTTTCAAAAAAAAAAAAATGAAGGCATTTTATTAGTTGTGTATTTTGACATCATTTGTGTTATTTTTTTTTTTTTTTTTTTTTCTTTATGATTTTTCACATTATAACATCTATAATTTAATTTTAAAATAATAATTATACTTTAATTTTAAAAACTTTCAATCATTTTTTATTTATTATACACATTAGCTGTTTTTGAATTCTTAGTTTATTTTTAATAAGCTTTTTTCACTTTAAGAAAAAATGTGTTAAATATATTACTTTTTGATTAAGATTATTATTTTATTCTTTAAATAGACAAAAGGAAGAATTTTTTTTTAGATATTAATTATATAGTTTTTAATCTAAATGAGAAAATACATATTATATTTAATGAATTTTATTGCCATTTTTCTCTATTACATATAATGTTATATTTTGTTTTTGTTTTTTTAAATTTTCTAAAATAAACAAAGTTTTTTATATATATTTTTTATATAATAAATATTTTTTGATATTATCAAAAAAATTCGTATGCTTTACATTTTTTTTTTTTTTTTTATTTTATTTCATATATTTTTTCCTTTTATATTTAAAAAAAAAATTATGGAATTATAGAATTGGATAAAATTTTAAAGTACTCAATTTTTTTTTTTTTAAAATAAATAAATATATATTAATATATGTATATATATATATTTAATTAATGATACAAATATTTAAAAAACTGGAAATTTTTTTTTTTTTTTTTTTCGTATTAAGAAATATATATATATATATATATATAAATATTTTTTTTTTAATTATTTCTTATTTTTTTTTTTGAAATATTCTTTAATATTTTATACTTTTTTTTTTTTTTGTAACTGATGGATAATTTTTTTTTTTTTTTCTATTTTTGACAATTTTAGGAAATATATTACTTTAGAGAAATGGAGCTCTTGTAATATATTTTATTTTTATTATTTGTAAAACATAATTTTTTTTGTTTAATTATCTAGAAAAAATATATATTCAACTTTTTGTTTTAAGTTCATAAATTACTAAGAAGATGCCTGATTTAATTTTTTTTTTTTGTATAAAGATTTTAACATACTTTTAAAAAAATGTTTTTCTCTTAAATTGTTATCCGTTGAATTTTTTTTTTTTTTTTGTTTAAATTTCAATATATATATATATATATATATAAATATATTTGTATTTATAATTATTTTTATTTTTTATTAAAATAGACATATTTAAAAAAAAATATATGCATTTTTAATATTTGTGTTATAAAGAATATAGAATCTTTTTTTTTTTTTTAGTTAATATTTTTAAATTCTTTAGAATGAATAATTAATTATTATATAAACTAGAAATACGAAAAATACAATATGGGAGAAACAAAAAACAAATTTGAAATAGCAAGAAATAGGTCGTCTAATAGTATAAGAGAAAACTTATTACATTCTTCAGATATTCTAAAAACTTCTAATAACCTTTTAAAAAATAGCTTATTTGAAGTAAATGATAAAAAAAATTATGTTGATCATACTTTCAATAAAAGGGAAGCAACAAATATAAATAATTTAATAAATATAAATGATTCACTAAATAAACATTATTCATTAAATGATGAAGGTATAACATATAGTGATTCAGTAAATCATAATTTACTAAATAAGGAATTTTCTAATAGTATGTTTTATGATAAAATTATGATGAGTAATAAAACCTACAATAGTGCTGTTGATAATCTTCAAAATAATTTTAGGGGGAACAATTTGACAAATGTTGTGAATTCTATTAAATTTGAAGAAAATGTTAATATAAAAATTCCATCTATTTTAAAAAGTTCTCCTCTTTATGTTTTATATCCAGAATTAAATAATTTAAGAGAGAAAGAAGAAGAAGAAGAAGAAGAAAACACACAAAAAAAAGATGGCATAGAAAATTGTAATGAAAATGAATTTTTAAGAGATATAAATGATAAAAAAAAATTGTCTAATTATTTGAAAGATGATTTAATTAATAATACTTTAATGAAAAATAAAATGTATGATTATTTTGAGCTAGAAAAAAAAAATCTCGTTCAAATTGAAGGTCCGAATGAATTAAATTACAAATTATTATGTTCAAAATCAAATGAAGCATCTAACGTTATTTTAAATTGTTATAAAAATAGACATGTAACAAATAATAATAATCATACATACAATGAATTAAACACTCTAAACTTTTTAAAAAAACAAAAAATGCCCATTGTTGAAAAAAATGAAAGAGAAAATTTTATCATACATTCTACAAGTCCTAGAAAAAAAAATATTCTAAAAAAATATGAGGAAAATGATGAAGAAAAAATCATTAAAAAAAAAGAAAAAGAATTTTTTATTTCTCTAATAGATACTTCCAATAAAACAGCTACTGTAAAAACATTTGACATTAAAAGTAATAAAGAAGTTAAAGAGAACAAAAATATATTACAAATAAAAAAAAAACCTCTAAAGGATGTGGAAGTTCAAACGAATGAAGAGGAATTGAAAAAATCATCAATTAATGTTATAGATCCATATATAGAAAATGTATACAATATTTTATATAAAAAAAAAAGTGAGTTACAAAAAAAAAAAGATAAAAATAACAATAAATTTAAAAATGTTAATAATAACGATACAAAACAAGAATTATTAACTAATGAAAAAGAAAAAAGTGAAAATTTGAAACATAAAATTTCTTATAACATGATAAAACAATCAGATAAAAGTGACGTTAGTAACAATGATAACAACAGTGATAGTTATAGTGAGAAAAGTAGTAATAATAGTAATTCTAATGATTCAAATAAAAGTAGCATAGATACTACGGAAGAAGATGATAAAGAAAATAAAAAAAAAATGAACATAAAACAACACATAACACACAGCAATGATTTCATGAAATTTGGTGTACCTTATAATATTTTAAATACAATTTATAACAAAAATTCACCTTTTTATAAAAATCCTTTTGTTAATATTGATACATCAAACAGCTTAAAAGCAGGAAAGGTTCTAAATATGAATATTTTAAATATGGATAAAAATGAGAAAAGTTTTAATAGTAAAGATATTATTAAAAAAAATCATTTGATAAAAAATTTTTCTCCAATATTAAATCCTTTAAAAATTCCATACATTCCACAATATATACAATGGATGAAAAGTAATATGAATACATTCCCTCCAAAAAATAAGAATGATTTATATCATAATAATTTAAATCATGCATATATGAGTTATATTTTTCCCGTCAGTAATCAATTAAAAAAGACATCATTAAATAAAGGATTTTTACCACTTATGGTAAATAAAAGTATCCCTTCCTTTTTAAAAGGAAAGAGAGAATTAGCAAATAAAAAAAAATTATGCAAACTTACTAAAAATAAAGGTTTACAAAAAATAAATGAAAGTGATGATAGCATATTAAGTGAGGAAAATGAAACAAATGAGGAAATCAAAAGTGAAAATGAATATGAAAAATCTAAAATTATAAATAATCTTTTATTAAAAAAATTATATATAAACAAAGAAAAAGAGTTATATGAAAAAAAAAAATTTCAGGAAACCTTTTGGAGTTTTTTAGAAAATAATGATATGCTAAAAGAAAGAACACGAGGAAAATTTAATAGTTTGAGGAATACCTACTATCATTACAATGATGGAGAAAAAGATAATTCTTTATTTTTAAGGAAATATAGATGTTGGGAAGAACATTATAATAAAAATATAAAAAATATGAAAAAATATTTTTTGGATAATAATTACAATACATATGAAAAAGGTTTTAATAATATAAAATGTTATTCACATAATACTCAATCAAATGAAATCAATAATTTGGATCCTAAAAAAAGAAACTATAGTCAACCAACATATAATGAAAATCATATAAATAAAGCACAACAATTTGTCAATTTTAATAATACACATAATCTTTATACTTTTAAAGAAGAAAATAATGATTATCTAAAAGAAAACAAAAAAAAAGAATTTAAAAATAAAAAAATATTTTCACAAATTAATTTAAATAAAAAATTTGCTTTATTAGAAAATATGAACAGAAATAATAAAAATATTTTAAGTAAATTAAAAAATAAAAATAGTAATAATTTTACACCACATCCAATTAAAGAGGAAGTTTACAATAGTTCATTAAAGTTTGATAATCAAAAAAGATGTAGATCATTTTCTTATAAAAATAGACTACAAAAATTAAACCTGTTATCAAAAAGTATTGCTCCTATTAAAGAAGTTGTTAAAAAGAATAACAATATATTAACAAAAAAAAATAATGAAGAAACACATTTTAATGGTAATGAAAATGAATTAAAAATGGAAGTAGAAAATCATCGTGATATACAAAAAGTTAATTGGGAATTGAATGAGCAAAAAAATAATGATAAAAAGAATTATCAAAAAATATTAAATGATATAAAATTTTCTTACAACAAGAAAAATACTCTAAAAGAGAACTATAATTCAGAAGAAAAATGTCATATCAAAAATAAAATTAGCATAGAGAAAATAACCAATGACATACCTAATGAATCTTATAATTTTTATAATGATTCACATAAATATATTGAAGAAAAAGAAATTTTTAATTTAAAAAGTTATGAAAATAGTTTAAAAGATATATATAAGTTAAATAATGTGAATGAAAATTTTTCATATGGAGAAGTAATAACCAAAGAGGAAGATTGCATTATTGGGGGAGAAAGTGAAAAAAAAGAAGAAAACACACAAAAAAATATACTTAACAATAATAAAGAATCTAATGATCATTTAATGACTTACAAAACAAAAACAAAATTGAATAAAACAGATAACCTACTTAGAATAAAAGTTAATCTAAAAAGACCTAATAATGAAACAATAATTCCTAACATGTTCATTAAGGATGAAAATAAAAAAAATGATGACTTTGATCATTCTGTATCACAATATTTAGATAAAAATTATGAGAATGTAGAAAAAAATGAAAAACATACAAGAGAAACCATAGGCAACCAAAAATGTGTAAATATAAATTTATTAGATGAAACAAAAGGAAATTTTAATAATATGGAAACTGTAAATAAAATTAAAGAACCTGAAAATCAAATAAATAACATAGCTTGTAGAAGTAAAAACAAAAAATAAATGAATTATTTTATTATATGAAAAATTATTTTTCCATATATTTTTAATATAAATGTATAATAATATATTCTTTTTTAAAAATTAAAAGATGTTATCTTTTTTTTTTTCTTGTGTCTTGAAACTTTTAATATTTTAATTTTAGATTTACAAATAATTTTAAAAAAAAATTTTTTTTAATTTCTTTTTATAATTTTTTAGAAGTATCTAATGCAAAAAATTTCCTCAGAAAAAACAATGGATCTGGTGGTGGTAACTATGTAAAGATAAAAGAAAGAAATATTAGTAATCACAAAAATTGTAAACCATTAATAACTTTAGAGAGCAATATACTAAATAAAAATACAAAGAATAATGCTGATTTTAATTTAAAATCCAGTTCAGTGAGCAATGGAAATGCAACAAAATTAAATGAAATGATTAATTTAGAAAATATTGACCCAAATAAATGGATTGAAGAAATTTTTGGAGATTCTTAATAAATATTTCTACGTTGACGCATATATACATTATATATATATAACTTGATATTTTTATTATCAAATTATTTGTTTTTGCTATGTTAAGATTTTTATCTACTAAAATGTGTTCTCATATTATATATATATATATAT